ACAGGAAAGACATTTTCCATATGATACACCGATGAATGGGCACTCAGGGTCTTCACCAGTTCGGTAGCAGTAGTGGTCACGGTTATGGGTGCTAGAGTCGCTCAGAAGATCTACCTAAAAAGTGGAAGATTTTACCACAGTAGTGATCTCGTCGAAAGTTGTGGTCGCAGTTCACTACTGGATGCAAATAATCTTGACCAGGACGTTTGAAGGACTCCTTGTGCAGAACCAGATTTGCCACAATGGAGGTAAGAATCGGTCTGGAAAGGGAGAAGGAGTTCCGGGCTGGGTGAAGCAAGTTCAGATAAGATAATTCTATTTGATGAATCTGTTAACATAGGCCCCCCTCAGTGCCTCCAAGATTATTAGTGCCATTATTCAGCTAATGGAGTTCACGAGTGCAAAGTTATCACAGGCGTCGGCTGTTCTCCGTTGAGCGCGAGAAGTCGGAAAAGTCCCTCATTGGGAGTCGGTCAACCTCTGATAGTTTCTCACACAAGCCGCATTCTGTTCCGTGGTAGCGCCGCCGTATATAGACAATCACTCATAATATCTTACGGTTGTGCAGTTTGGTCCTTTTCCCCAAACGCGCCGCCGCATATTGCCATTCTGAAGAAAGTTAATAAGCTTGCGGGACATTCTGCTATAACTGCTCGAGTTCCTCCTGTGCTGTTGGGCACGTTGAGCTACGAATTGTTCACACTGTTGTAAGGGATAGAGTGGGATCAAAGGCAGTTGGCACGATAAATCCCTAAGGTGAGTAGGATTAATGCGCCTGCCAGCAAGTAGCTACGCGACCCTGAGCAGGCGCTGCGTAGCGTTTTCTAAGGAAGGTACCTCAAGCGACAACAAATCGACCCGACGCCCACCACGCCCGCCCGCCCACAAATGGACGACCGTACCTGATGCTCGTATTGCTTCATTTGCGAAGTAAAATATGAAGCGAAGGGATTGATATGAAGCGGCCGCAGTGCTGCATGGATATATGAGTACATACGTGCAGCCACGTGCCGTAGCGGTTATTGGCAAGATGCCTACGGGAAACTCGTCCGAAATTGCTTTTCGAGTCACGAGTGGCAAGGCTTTTCTTTGCAGGTTTTGACCGTTTCACTTCGTTTTTTCGCCAATTTCCCACTATATAGCGCCCTGCTAGCATTTTAGGCCGAATACCAAATTATCGTGCCAACTGCCTTTGAGGCTAAAAAGCTGACATAGCTGATTGAGACTGTGTCACTTGACAATGGTACTACGCACCGCAACATGCGATAAGTCCTTAAGAGGTTCCTGAGCAGCACAATACTTAGATTTCTAGTATGCAGTCATTTTCACTGCAGACGCGGGGGCGTATCAGGAGGGCTGGGTTTGGCGCGACGCCATCCGTTCTTGGCGAATTGTTGTCGCTTATCCGCTTCAATATTTATTTAGAGCTCTGCTGGAGCCGCGCCTAATCCAACTCCCTTAAACGCCCCAGCGTTTGCAGCGAAAACGATTGAAACTACACGACTTTATAGTGTTTAATTGTATTCTGTGACTCGTTTTAAATACCTCTTTTGTATTAGGTACCTCTTGATGTGTGTTGCCGAATGTTGCAAGATAATGATAACAAATTTACCGAATTCCTACCGAATTTACCGCCAGCTGTGATGCAGACACGCGATCAGCTGGTCTTGTTGATCGATGGGAAGGTATTTCTTTTCTTGAAGTCTTTTCTCCAGTAGTATACGAAAGCTGAATAAATCAAGCAGAGACGCAATTCCTGCGTTCATAGACTGCGCATAAGAGGAAGACCGTACTTTTGGTTACAGCATTGGCTTTTGGGTAAATCAATAAAAGAGGCCATTCATGGTTGCCTTCACATTCAATAGCAACTACTGCTAGTTTGGAGATGAGCTCCGTGGACACTGCCCGTCGTAAGTTGGGCATCCTCAGTCAGGGGGTCGTATTCGTCTGTCACTGGTCGGCGAGGAGAGGTTTACATCTGTTCTTGAGAAGAAAGTTTTGGTTGTTGGCTTTTCTTGAGTTTTTTCTTGTTCAAAGCACTCTATATTAAACTCCCCTGTCTTCTCCGATCGGAGGCGGGTTTTTCAGTGGGTGGTGGGAGGGGAGGAGAAGAAATTTTTCAGAAAATAAACTCTGGAAAAATGGAAAATATAAAAAATTTAGTAAGATCAAGCGGTGCGAAAAGGGGGAAGGGGCAGCATAGTACCACAGGAAGAAATTTCGAGAGGTTCAGTGGTATTTTTTTAATAATTTCCCTCAACGGCAAGACGTACTTTGACTGTGAAGGATAAGCGCCTCTTCTGCAACTACGCTGGATCATGAGGAACAGCTAGGCTATTCGTTGTTCGGCACTTGGAAGTTTCTATACGTTTCGTATTGGGAGAAGAGCTCGGTTTCTGCGTTTAAGGCTCATTACGTGGTTGTTGGAGTAACGGGGCTTGACAATCGATTTCTTTCTCCTTACTGATGCACCCCTCTTCGCTGTATTGGAAGTCGTGGAAGTAAGGAAGGCACAGTGAATCCCATCCTTTTGTGAGCAGTTGCTGAAACTTTTTTGTAGAATATGACAATGAGTATTCATGGAGTGAAAGAGGAAACAACCTCAGATTTTGCCTTTTACATTACGCGTAATTTTATGTTTTACGTCATCCTCATACAGCAGCGGGCTCCCTAACATTTGCTGAACAAAACGGAACGTTTTCGGGGAAAAGCAGCGCAGCACTTCCCAGAGCAGTAGCGTCTCTTCAGAATTTGATTACTTCGAAGAAGTACGGTTTTGTAGGTCGTGCTGTACGCCGAAATCGAGGAAATGATGCCGTCACTTCACCAGCTGGCCAATTCCGAGGAAGTCCGGAATAAATTGGATGCTTTCGCTAGTCGCATTGGATGTGATATGACAAGGCTTGTCATCTACCTGTCGGATTTGCAGGGTACCGATATGGAATAGATGTCGATTCATTGGTTCCATATATTTGTTATCGATTTTGAAGGCACATTCCGCGGTAGCAGAATGTCGATAGTACTGCAGAAAAGAGTTTAGGAGCCAACTGTAAGTGACTAGTCGACCAAAAGACAAGCTGCCAGAATTCACCTTCCCTTCGAAGGTCTCCTTTTTGTAGGGATTTTCATCATTGTTCGTGCCTTTAAAGAAACACGAACTTCATAGAAGTCGGAGGAGTTGGCCCGAAAGAGCGCGGGATGAATAAGCCTTTTGCCCTCTCATCTGTGGTGGGCGTGTTCTGGCGTAGGAGGCGTCCACAGTAGTAGGTCACAAGCCCTTAGCGCCCTTGCCGCGCACTTCTGGAATCGCGAGAGTGGTATAACCTCCCCTGTTGCAAACACGTTTACCTTCCATATGAAAAGGAATTTGGGAACCTGTTCGTATTAATTACAACATTCACCTACTCGTAAGGCTCGCGGCAACACTTTATTGAGATGGAAGGATTTCTTACGTTTTGCTATCCGCGGAAAGTGCCTTTAAATAAGGCCGAGCATGAGCATAGCGAAATAGGGCCCACGAGGGCTCTGCAGATTTTTAAGTGCGTTTCACTAAACAGATAAGA